ACATCTCATCATGCAGTATATCCTCGCGTGATTTTTTAGAAACACTATAGTATACTCAGTTCTTTATTAGTTCTACCCCCTTTATTGAGGGACCTGGAACAGATTTTCCAGGCCAAAACTGAGCGTGAAGCTAACCGCATGCCAAAGCCTTTCATATATATTTGCATATATATAATATAGTTGTCTCCATTTGACCAATATTTCATGAGGAGAAATATAATTCGGAAATTCAGAAAAAATGTTTTAAATTTTAGTCAGTTTAGTTCTCTCAACACTGTCCAAATATATATATACTGATAAACTATAAACTCCAGTTTTCCAGTTATATATCCAATCATCCAGATGCTGAACACTGTTCTTTCATCAGCAAATGTGTTCCAAGAATAGCTATGACCTTGTCTACGTATGTAATATTAATTTCATTACCGCCTTTCATTGTGATAAAATTATATATAATTGTCTTGATTTTAAAAGTGCAGATATTTGAAAGCTATTAAACTAAATATAGGTCTTGTAAATCAGATGTCGATTTAACTCTTATCAACTGATGATATACGGAAATAAAAACAACAGCTAAGCTTTTATACATGTATGCAGTCTACAGGGATTACACTTAGTTTTTTATGTTCTTTAGGGAATCCTTTTGCGATTGCATGTTTGACGCAAAAAGGAGAAAACTGACGATTAAGCACAAAGCAATGGAGGATAATGTTTAAGGCCACTTGGCGTTAGACTGCACTCTAAACGACTTTTGTATGCAAATGAAGCAGAGTGCATGTGAATATGTTATATGCATGCATGAAGCAATGAAGCATTATGATTTAATTTTAAGGTTTTCATTGCCTAAATAAATAAAATATTCAAACTGATCAATCAAACCGAAATTTCAACTTTGTTTCTGAGAAGGGGGAGAGCGAAAAGGGAATGGCTGGCGAGTGATATTGCTTTGGATTGTTGTTTCGTTTTTGTTTTATTTTATATTTTGGTTGATATTTTTAAAAATAGATGTCAAACTCTAGAGTCTATAGAAATAAAGAAAAATTTGAGCATGTAGCCGGTTCTGGTGAATCCTCGATGTCAGTTTAAAAACCTTTCCGTTATTATAGTACACTTGCTCCAATTAGTCAATAACTTCATCCCAACAATATCCCTCGATAACTCGCCCGGCTCGCTGTTTAATTTCGATTATGTATAACTTAACTAAATACCGAGCCGGACTGGGCAAATCTATAGCCTATTAATTCAGACTAAGACATCTTCTTAGCGACTTGAAACTCTGGCAGGCATGCATGGTTAGGTGAAAGAAATTAAAAGATATATTATATGAAATTGGCATCGGGACAATACAAATGATCGTGTTATCAAGGCAATAACAGGAAACATAGTCATAATGAATTTTTTGTTTGGCTCTACCCTTGACGTCAAGTGGGTCAGGGGTGAGGTCTTTTAAAAATACCCGGCATGCATGTATTGTTGAATTATATAAGTTCCCCTTTCATGAAGCAAACTTAGCTATATATGCATGCAGCCAATGCGGCTATATATTTTAGGTTCATAGGTTGTGGTTCAAAGAGAGTGTCATCCCTATGAACCAGACCGGTGATGTTGTATCATACAGATAGTTTGGTCGAATTTTGATGATGGAAGAGACTCGTTATTTCTGACATTTATATTTCAAGTTAAATTACCCGGCATTAACAAATCAGACAAAACATGGAACAAGCCACAGGGCATAATTTGATTTTAGGGATTAACATTTTATTGGTCTTTTTTCATCTGCTAACCTATACTTTTGCGTTGTACATCGGTCCAAAACGGACATGCGAAGTTGATTTATACTGCTGCATATTGCTTATTCGCAAGGGTGGCATGTAATGACGTGTTTAACTACCACGCACTATTATTTAAAAATGTTGCTTTGTTAGACTGACACTTTGATCACGTACAACAGCAAATTTCATTCATATATTGTTTTAAATCACGATTCAGGAAAACATTCATTCTTTTCATGCAGGGTTTCCGAGACGGCTTAATTCGTATGACAACTCCAGGTCACGATTTAGACTGAATTAAATATACAAGACAAGTATAGAAAATTCTTGATTCTAACTTTAAAACTTCAACTCTACTTTTAATTATGACTATATAATATGATTTAATTTTAAGAAAGTTATAAAACGATGTATTTGATTATAATTAAATATATATGATTATATATATGAGTCAAGACTGTCGACAATGTTTGTAGTTTGCTGTTCGCTTATACGGCTAGCCGGTGACCTATTGTAGTCCTCGAGTGCGATGCTGAATTTTAATTCGGATGCAATTTTCAATCCGTAGATGGTATTTAAAATATTTTTAAGGAAATACCGTAGAGATTGCAAAATGCATTATCAGGATTAATGGATCAATATATATGTAGGAGTATTATTTATTTCATTTTTCAATTCCGCTATTCGGTGAACAAATCTATTTCCATACATGTCCTAAATCGAAATCCGTTTCTCTGTTGTCAAACATGCGTGTAAAATTAAAAATTACGTCGCGCCCTTCTTTTCGAAGCCAAAATGGTCGCACCGGTCCTTTTAGAGTTGAAAGTGGGTGGGAGTTGCAGTTTGCTCGCAAGGTTAATAACCAGGAAATTTTTCTTTCCGCGATGAACTTGTGTGTCCACGTTATCCAAATCATCACGCTCTGTCCGTCGTCGTGTGATGAAAGGCGGCCTATATATAACTAGGAGGAATTGAAGACGTCGAAAATATCACTCATGACACTGTCACCGGCTGATAATTTTGTTGCTAAAGTCACAGAGTCGCTTGCGAATTATCTTGATCCGCATCAAAGAAACTAAATATACAACAATTCAGCGGAAATTGTTGTCAGTTTTATCATCACCAGAGGCTTATAGACGTTTCAATATTTAAATCATTTAGCAAATCATAGTACATGCAACATTCATGTTTATACATTTTGGCTGTCTGTTTAATAACCAAAGCGTGCACTATCACGCAGCCGTTTCAGTCTTGCGGAAGATCATATGATTTATATAGACTAACCTTACTGGATTACTGATCGAGAATATTGTTATAGTTTTAACCGGTTAATCTTAGGGTAATAAGCATTTGGGTGAGTGATATATTAATATGGTTATATTTCATATTTTCCGGCCGAAATGTATGAAAAACATGCGGTATAATCCTTCCCAGAATGAGCCACGTACATTCAGTGTCACGCCCTTTTTATGCGCATGCATGCATGAAGAGCCAAGTGATGGTAATTCTTTTCTGTAAATTAAAGTGCTAAGGCCTAAGAGGCGATGATATTGAGATGACTTAGTGGATCAGTAGTTGTCTCCTATGGCCCCATTATACACCAAGGGTAAGATCTATTGGAACCGCGGAAAATAACGAGGTCACGTAATATGACCCACAAACGAAAAAATGCTCAACATTACACACAAGATGACACGCCCTCTAAAGATCAGTTATTTCACACTGGTATGACGTCAGCAGTTGCCAAATAGGGCACCTACAATTTTTATAGGGATTTTTGGAATTAAACTGTCGCAGAAGTTTATCCTCCGAAATATCTAAACATTTCAAAAGACGCGTTCATAAACTAAGCTTGATGTCGTCACAACAGCTAAACTAGATCCATTCCCTGTTGATCAGCTCCCATGTCACTCAAGGTATAGGGAGTTGCAAAGAGTACGGAAGAATGTGCTATCCCCTTTGTCGGTTTTGCATGATTTATCATATAGCTGAAGTCAAATTAAATATCTTGAAACTGACGTCATTTCTCAATGATGAATGCATTATAAACATTGAACTTATGGTTCCCATTCACCAGATTGACCAGAATTCTGAAAAATCTATTTATTACGAGTTTATGGAGTTTGCTTGAATATGTATTAATGTATACATATTCCTATCTTAGCCTTTAATTCAACCATTCAACGGAAACATTGAACATCCACAAACAAATGGACAACAATTAGAGTCTCTAGAATTTCTAATTAATCACAAGAAGCCAAATCTATAAAACAATCTGATTAATAGACATACTGCTATATATATATGTCCAGTAATATAGCTGCACGGATGACGTCAGATTGTATAGCAAGGACAAAAACTGGTCACGAATTATACTTGAAAACGAAACGGCTAAATGTAATATTTTTGTATTATAATAAAGATGATAAAACCCCCAAATAATTCAAGGTTGTATTTAATTGTAAAAAATACCTATAGGAGTTTCTTGCATGTTGAGATGTATTGTTGAGATCTTGCATGCATCTTTTCGGTAATAGATCATGCACGGTTTTCGTCAATGAAAACGTATGAATTACTTGACTACCTTTACTATTATTCGATAAAGGAAAATAGATAACATACGACTGTCTTGTATATCAACAGTAAAAAGGCGGAACTTGATCATTATCATCACTATATTGCCATTCCAATTGCCATTGGAGATTTCGGACTGGTTCAAGATGGGACTTTCCTTTTACCAGAACATATATTCCAACTAAAAAGGGAATAATACAGTATATATTATATATTTAATATAAAATCGTATTATATAATATCTAATATAATGGTTGAGAGCCCTAAACTGCTAGTGGCAGTTACAATAATAGTTACAATATCGTCGGTTCGTATCAGGCAATATTTCTCTTCAGTGGGAACTGCAGAAAAAGTTGTTTCCTCTGTAACGGCGTCAAGACCTTGACCGTCAAAACCTACAATGTCTCTTCGTCCATTTGGAGTCACTAGTTTAAGCCAAGTGAAAGTGATCTCTATATGAATTAAAGGACTTTCAGGATGTGAATTACTTATATGAAATTTATGTTTTGTTGACAGCACTATCATGCCCAGCTGCCCAAAAGTTCTGTTTGAGACACGCTGATGTCGAATGAATCGATTTACCCCAAATTCCCCGAAGAAGCGCCATCTTTTTCCTGTTTGATGTCTTGCCGACCATACGAAACAAAAAAAATGGAGGAAAAAAACAACAACGCTACTTTCGAATCCTCTCATTAACGCTTCCTCATTGGATGAGGGAAGTAATTCATGTCTGGGATATTGAGATACATATTTTCAAAAGCAATGCATTCGGCCTGAATCATGCAACTATACGGCATAGCAAAGGTGCTGGGTTATCCATTGACACTATTCTCTGCTATGTGTTATTGTAACCTTTATTGCCGATGTCGATAGTTTATGGGACATCTGTTTTATTAAGCAGAGAGAGAGCTCGAGACTTAAGCAATATCGTATTTTTTTCTGCTGTGAAATTAAACTGATAGTTTACAGCAAAATCTGTTGTAAACTACCACTGACATGCTTTCCACACATTTTGGTGGAAAAGTGTGAAAAATAATCCCACATTTTTCGCTAACGTCAACAACTTACAAGTTTTCTGATATTCCAAAAAACTTATATGCTTAATCGCTTAAACTATCTAATGGCATCGCATGATAAGCGAAAGTTGATTGTAAGAATTGAAAACTATTTTCAATCATTAGCTTCTATACAAAACAGTTACAGCAGATAGACTCGTATATAGAATGCATGACAATGACACGGTAGGGAAAGAATTAAGAGTTTCCACTCCCTCAGTCTAGATTGTTATTTCCTAACTTCGTTGGTTGTATGAATTCATCCCCCTCATGCAGCAGGATATTCGTCAATCAGGTAATCCGTCGTCGTCGAAATGAAATAACGGAGAACTCGGTGGAATGATGAAAGATGGTTGAGAACTGGCTGATGGAGACATTGTGCTTGCGTTCATTTTTGGTGACAGCTGTAGTGGGGATGAAAGGCTACTTTGCGGAGGTGATATTGGTGTTCCTACAAACACAAAAAGTTCAAGCAAATTTTTAAGCCCCTGGCTATTGAAGTTCACAAATTTCGGGCATGTTTCCGTTAGGGAGTCTATTTTTTTCAATTCCAAACTTTAGATTTTCTGAATACTGAAGGTTTATACTACATTCGCTATTCAAACTTGATACCTAGATCTAGACTTGGATCGCCGCTTGTCGACTTGAGTTGGAATCCAAGCATGTCACTGTCAAATCCAGGCGAAGGCACTTCGGAAATATTCGACGCTGCACTTGTCAACGTTAAGTTGCGCATCGTATTTGGAGAAGACTCGTCCATTGAAGATTCTGGGAAAATGTATAAACGAAACGAAACTTGGGTTTAATTAACGCTCTGAAAATGATGACAACGGCAGCTTCAAAATACAAAGTTTTGCATTAGAAAAAGCTTTTGACCTAAGTTTGGTTGTAAGTTATTGTAAAATACTGAAAAGACAGCCCCCGTGGAGTTTGCAGGTTTTGTAGCTATACTGCATTAAATACATTCTTTCGTATACCTTTGAACATTTCTTCGGAATCGAAATTTGTCTGCGTGCGTTCCTGCTGATCGCTGCTAGTTACGCCATCGTCATTTGGTGCGGAGTTGGACCCTAATTTTCCTAAAGTAGGAATATAATTCCCAATTGTACAAAATCATGCAACTTATAAAATATCAGCGAAGGCCACTAGTCTACTAGAATAAAACAATATCCTAGACTCTTGTCATTACAAAAATTATTTTTGCGTCACATGTGAAGCAGAGAATGTGACAGGGTTGGGTCACCTGATGTTTTGCCTTTTGGCAGCTCAAACTTCACCCATTGGTACTTGGCACATTTACGAGCATTGGGCAAACTCTGTAAAAGATACTGGATCGTAGGATGGGAGAATCCAAAGAATTCTGGACCGGAGCCTGTGTTAGTAGCTTCTTTTCCTCTGAAATTAAAGCATTTCAGGGTATTTATATGCTGAATAGTGTCCAGTTCACTTTGTCAAATTCGAATTCGAGCTGATATTTACAACAAAAATTTTAGTTCAAATAAATGGAACATGCTGCCACGAGTACCTTGCTTTATTTATTGCCTTTAATACAACACAGTGGCAAGCTGTAGCAGACGAAGCCTCGATTGAGTTTTCAGAGTCATCTTCAGGAGACATGACAAACTAAAAAACATCAATAATGTTGACGTCACACGCCTGAATATTTTGTTGTCAAGTAAGATTTTACTCAAATCTACCAGTAGCCCTAGACCTTCATGAGCACAGTAACAACATTTACACATCTGAACTACGGTGGTGCATTTAAAACCCAAAATTTCATAAAGTCAGGAGGAGTGTAGGAAGCACATCATACTTGCATGGGAGGGTCTACGTTTTGCTGATAAAATGGGCGTGATGTATTATAGTTTGGTGTTGTCATTTATTGTATCAGCTCCAGCAGTGCACGCTAGAAGCACAGAATACCTAACAGAAGTAGAACTCTATACTATTTTTTCGTAAGTGTGATTCGTCATGATTCGTCACTTAGCAAGTGCATTTTTTTGAGGTAGTCACCCCCCTGCCAATACTAAAAATGGCCTGATTTTAAACATTGGGAGGGGGGTGACTTCCTCAAAAAAATGCACTTGCTAAGTGACGAATCATGACTTATCACACTTACGAAAAAAGTACAGGAGTTCTACTTCTGTTAGGTATTCTGTGCTAGAAGGCTCGCACCCCCCCCCCCTTCTCCCCACGGCCCTGAAAGTCACATTAGGTGATCTTTGCACTTGGTTTTCAACATTGGTAATGCGTTAAAATGTAGTTTTATGATCTAACAATACGACGTAAACTAACCGTAGGTCCATAACCACCATCTAAAATTTTACACGTGTAGATACACTTCATGTCTGGTGTTTTCATACTTGGGTAATACCGTGAGCTACAGAAACCGACTGGCCAGATGTATCGCTCCGAATGAAAACCAGGTCGATCCCAAACAATCTAAAATACATCAAATTATTACCATGGGCGGACACTCCAAGGCAAAGAGAGCCAATACTATAGTCATACAGGAAAAATAGTAGTGACCTGACTTGGTCCTATTTGCACACGTTAAAATCTCTCAGAAAGAGAAAATAGCACAAGTGTAAAACCAGGACATTTACACTGTGAATATATCAACTTTCCTAACTTACATCACCCAAACTATGAACTGTTAATCCGCCAAGAACAATTGGAAACACAGGTTTACCTATAAATTAGACATAAATATTAATTATATATACATAGTCGCTTCAACTGTTATGTAACTTACTGTATGTTCTCAGAACAGGTTCATTACCACTCACCCTTTGCGTCCACTGGTATTGGCTGAACTTTTCTTTTTATTGCAGTTCCTGGTTTCTTCCGCTTTGGTTTAACTGGAGGGTCGCCCTTGGCGTCCTGGGGCGAAGTACTTGCTGAAGTACGAAATATATGTTAGCGAAGAAAGTGGCACTAAAGCTTCAGTGAAACACGCAAAAGATTTTAAACAGTCGTTTTACTGTTGTAATTTTATGAAATATTAATCGAATGGTTCTTCCGTGCAGGAGTGCGTTATCCATATATTTGGAATGTTGCTCGACCCGTAGGCAGGTGTATTTTCTCAGCTTCCGAATATCCCGGCACTTCTTGCCGGGATCCCGCCTATGCGGGATTGAAAAGTGGTCAGATAAACACTAATTAGTGTTTGTATTACAAGCGGGATCTCGGAAACTGTCCCGTCCCGGCTAGGCGGGGTCATATAAACAGGCCCTAAAATTGACCTGCCCAATGGACGTCTAGAGTTGAAACTGAGCAATGTTTTTAAACACAAAGCACTTTATATATTTGATGAAAAAGACAACTGAAGTCATACTTATGGCTGTGTGTATCGAACTTAGGGAGTTTATGAACCGTAACGCGGTCAGCTGACTCAGCTCGACGTTGCTAGTTGCGGTGTTTCTTTGTCTCAAAAGCGCATCGTCAAGCTGGCCGCGTCGTGAATCGTAATCCTCTTGATACTGCTGGAACACGGCGATGGTCGGCAAAAAAACAACTACAAGACATGACAAACCTTCATTAGATTTTGTTTCTTCCACATGTATGGTCCCTTTTGTAGCAGCAACAGTGACTTCAGTTTCTTTCTTGGATTTCGCTGGTGGGGCGACTTTTTTGATGCGGACTTTTATTGCTTTTGGTTTTGCCGACTGTTGAATAGTTGGAGGTAATTGGATTTCGGGTGAAGGGTGGACTAGGATCTCAGGAGGAGGTGGTGGGATAAAGGTTTGCATTGGAGGTGGAAGTGGTTCACGGGGCATTGAATGATACTCCAACAACTGTTTCAGTAAGAACCTGTGGCAAAAGACCATTAAGCCTTGTTTAACATGTAAAGTTGTCAACAAATAATATAAGGACAGATATTGATTTTCTAACCGTGTAGTAAAACAATATTTCTATGAAATTGTTATCTCTACAAGGATGCTATATAGCTAGGACATACTTTCGTTCCACTTTTGCACGTTGAAACTTAGCATCTGTTTGCACTATCTCATCTGCAATTGCAGCATTCTCCTTAAAAAAAAATAGTTTACGGACATGTTGTAGTTAGTTTTTGTGTATAAACTAGGCCAGTGGTGTTTGTCATCCACATAGAGTATTAGAATGAAGAACTATAAAACAATGTCAACGACATCTGTGCTCTGATTTCAAGGGCAGGTGTGTGAAGGTGCAGACCACTACTGGGAATTATTTTACCCCTTCTCTGAGGAGCCCCAAACGAGCCTTCCCAAGAAGTCAAATTAAGGTTTAACAAAATAACACATTAAAGTTTATTCATGCATTGACCAGACTTCATCAATTACCTCCTGAATGTACAGTATGAGAGCTGCACTTGAGAGCCTTTTTTATGGCATTGCACATTTAGATTTAGGATATAATAACCTGCATCCTTGCTAATACTTGCATATACAACCAGGCGGAATAAAAACAGTATGTGAAGCCTTGGTTAACATATATGTGTGCATCGTAGCAGGAAAATTGAATTCAACTTTGCCATTATTAGTAGCAGGATAAAACATTATGATTAGATACAGTCACAGGCATGAATGCTGCTTTAATAAGCTATTGATATTATATATGGGATATATAGTTTATGTACATACAAATATCAGTCTTTTGACAAGTTTCTTTAAACGTTGATACTTCTTCTTATATTTTATGAGATTTAATTCTCTTGTGTGTGAATGATGATGTCCAGGCATTCTCTTAATGCATATAAAATAAAATTTTGTTAACAAATTTCTTCCATGTGAGTAAATACACAAAACCAAGTCTACCTTTGGTGGCTCAACAACAGCCTTAGGCTTAGGATACATCTCATCTTGCTTTGTTTGGTTCCTATACAGTAACAACATTTACTATTGTCAAAGCTGAAGAACAATCTAAACTATGCAAAAATTATGTTTAAAAGAAAAAAGAGATTAAAGGGGTCAGAATTCAAAAACTCCTATGGGAAAAGATTAAGAAAGATGGCTCTTTGAAGCTTCCCTAATAAGGGGAGTGTATAAAATGGAACCAGTCTCAATATTTCCTTAATAAATACAGTAATATCTTAATTACGATTTAGTTACTTGAACGCTTTAAACCATAAATTACTACAATACTGTGTAATCATATACTGAAGATATATACTCACATGTGAACTGGCGATGAATTTTGCTCCTCGCTAGAAGCAATAACAGGCAAAGTATCCATTGTATTACTAACATCATTGTTCACGTGTGACAAGGATGGAAATAAGTTATTCGACCCCAAATCTTCTCCATTTGACATTGATAAAAATGGTAAAGGTGGTGTCACATTGTGTGACGAAGAAGGTCCGCTGTTTAACGCCATATTTTATCTTTTAGCCAAAATTCTTTATAACAGCAGTAGAGTTCTGCCTAAAACTCATAATCCATCACTGATAATAACTGCAAAACAATCGAACGAATTAAAATTTCCACAAATTACATTTTAAAAGTTTTTTATTTTTCTTCTTCAATCTTCATTTATTTTGAAGTACTTCATGTATGCCTGTTTGAAACCTAATGGGAGGAGCCGAGCGATCAGCGAATTCTTTAATTTCGATACCAGCTTTTTCAGTCGATTCCCATGATCCTTTGCGTCATCAATTTTCATCACTTTGTAGGGACTGTGGAACTTGGAAGAGTCAGACTCGGATAGGCGTTCACTGAACACCCTAGTCAACCTGTCAATGAATGCTTATGCGTCATATGTCAGTGATTATAACCAATAAATGATAACTGACTCTTATCATTTTTGAATTTTGAAACCCTTGTTCTTTTTTGATCAATTTGACGGCAAGAATCAATTTAGGAATGGTGGGCCGTAGGGTACTTGGAGACTTGGACAACTGGGGTCGGTTGTTTAAAAGCCGGTTAGTTTAATCCTGGGTTAACTCAAATGAAGTTTATGAAGTTGAACGCTCGTTTATGAAGTTGAACATGTTTTTTCAAACTTTTTAATTCTTATTTTGTAAAGTCTTGAGACAAACAGCGGTGCAGAAGCACATAAACCAAAACAACTGAGTAAAATTTAACCCAGGGTTAGCGCTAACCTAGCTTTGAACAACCGGCCTGAATGATTCGGAGGAACCACTGGTGGAAGAGGCAATATGACTGTATGTAGAAGCCATCGCTAGGAAGTTAGAAACTATCTTAAATTCGGTCCCCCCACCCTAATAAAATATGTACACAAGAAAGTACTGTTACCGTCATGCAATGTGCTAAAGGCAGATTTTTATTTGTACCCCCAATTGTCAATTAGGGATCTGCGGCTTTGTTCGCTTGCTGTGGGCCGCGGCAGCAACAAGTAACTTCATTTTTTCAAAAATTGTACTTATACGAGTATGCGAACACAACCACATCTAACATCTTATATCTATCTTTTAAAGATATAGTCTGTTCATTTCACATCTTCTTTTGTCCTTTGTCTGCACACATTTCGCAATTATTTTTCTGCGTATGGATTTTTTACGTATAAACACCTGACCCAAAATATCAATAATTTCTACTTTTACTAATCTATATAATGTCTATCTTTTTTCATTTTTCTTGAGTATATATTAGGTACAAACTCCAAATGCAACTAGATACATTACTGGAAATATCTTTACGCTGTGAACAGTTAAGATCGCTCCAACCTTTGTCTACTTCTTCTTTTAACAAACTTTATAGCATGCATGCCACATGTCAATCAACATTAAAATACTTCATTAGTCACAGTTGGAGAAGGTTCCTAATATTTTCATTCCATCGAATAAAAGTGCATTAGTGAAATTGTTGTAGTGAACGAAGGCAATGATACAAAAATTGAAGAAGATATAGTGGAAGAAGTGTAAAGTGAAAAGATAGTTGTGACAAAATTTGATGAAATTTAACACCGCAGTTGTCTGCAGTTTACAGCAAGCCCATATTATAGACCTGTATAAAAAATCTGCCCTGTGACGTTGTTGGAAGGCAAAGCTCGTTCCTGGTTCGGCTGGTTGGCCAACTGCATGAGCGCATTGTCCACTCATGCAGAAGCATGTTTTGTCCGAACTCCGAAAGTACGTCATAACGCAGACGTTTTATAAAGGTTTATATAAATATACACGGTGATTTTTCAAGAAATGAAATTCTGTGTAGCTATAGCGAGTGCATTGCATTCTATAGCGTTTCATAACACCGATTCTTAATTTCTCTCATTCTGCTCAATATACGAGGAAGACCTGAAAGTTTCTGAATGAAAAGCCTGGTTGGAACACCTCAGTTTGAACCAGGTGAAGCAAGGTGTACCGACCAGACTTAGCCTGGTCGGAACACCTTCGCCAGGTGAAGTGGCGGATCCCAGGGTAAGGCAGAATAATTGCTTGTGAATTTCCAACGATTTTGTATTTCCATATATATATATATTAGATGATATCAGCATGCATGCTGCATTTATATGAAATAGATTTCTGTGTCCGGAAAGAATTTGCAATAAAAATTTGATTAAATAGTTAGTAGCATCACTGAATATCCGATATGTTCTGTAATTGGTCATGTCTTGACTTTGACAATGTTTTTCGTATTTTTTTCTCTGAACACATAACTTTTTAGAGAACGAAAATCGTCAATAAATATTAACGAAACACAATGCTGTAATCGTGCTTATTGTGTAGAACCACACGGCATCAAGCTAAAAATCAACGATCAACAAGTTCTAAAGTTCTGGTAATTCTTAGTAAAAGCCGAGGACGCCGAGCGAAAGAACCTTGAAATGCACCGAGTACCGTAAGCAGTTATACCGTTGATCAAACGGTCGTCATGCGTTCAACAACATGTAAGTTCGGGGTTGACCTTCCTCGGTGGATGACTTCTGGAGGGAGTAAACTTGGATCAGCGCCAGCTAGAGCACAACTAACTTCCAACCAACTTGCACGTAATGAAGGCTCTCTAGAATGGATTGATAGCGTACTTTTTGGTGCCTTAAGAGCGGAATGAACGGATAGTAAACTTCTTTGTGGTTTAAGAGCAGGAGGTGATAATAATGATGAACCGGCCAAGTTGGGAGTGCTGATGTTTTCTGTCTTGATCTCAGGGTAACCACCACCGAATGGACATTCTTTCTCGTATATAAATTCATCCTCAGGTTTCTCTTCTATAGCAACATCGAATGACATCCGGTTCCGCATGCGCATATCATGTGGCATGAGGCATGGTACGAGGAATAGAAGAAGAAATGCTGCAAAAGCGCTACCACCAGCCGCATAAAATGCTAAGTCGTACGAACCAGACACATCGACCAACCATCCTAAACGGAAACAAGACAATGAGTCAGAATGATCTATTTGAACGCATACAGTATATATACGTTTGTTATTCAGTATTAATGTTGTATTTCACCACGAAATTAGTCTCACGAAAGCGATTTTTAGTATAGCTTTAACGACGGTAGGTACCACTCCCGACATATATTGGAACGAAAGACTATACTGAACAAGGCTTTGATTAAATCTATAATATATTTATCCGTATGGTAACAATGCAGGTACTATGCGCATTAAAAGAAGGACTTGCAAGGTATAACTTAACAGATAACGTACCAGCTAATGGAGGGCCGACGAATGTTGTGATAGCCATGAAGAAAAATTTAACACCCATTCCAGTCGAGACTTTATCTATGCCGACTACATCGCTAACGACTATCGCCAATAGTACAATAAAACAACCGTCAAACACACCAAACGAAACCATGTACATAGCAAAACCGGCGAAGTTCGTTATTTGAGGAACTAATGTTTGTATCACAGCAATGCAAAAGAATGCCAGTTGGTACAAGTAAAGTCGATTGACGCGAGGATGATCCGAAAGCTTGCCGAAGAATAGACGGCCAAATGTTGAACCAACCGACATGATTCCGACGAGGTTCGACGATTTGTCAGGATCGACATTTAAATCTTGTGCATATCGAGGCTGCAATGAAGAGGAACATTACCATAAATAAAATCTCATACCCTTCGCTTAACGGACGCAGAAGACAAACTTAACGCTCCTGGAAAAATTCTTAAATGTCATTCGATGAGGTGTGCTGGTTACAGCACATGTAATATTACATACGAACACTTACCAAGTGTATAAACGGAACGAAATAACCCAACATAAAAGTACTCATGGCAACACAAAGAACCATAAAGGCTGGATTTCTCAACACAGAAAAGTCGACGATTTTGATCTTGTTGTTTCTTTTATTTCCTTCGGTTTTCTGGTAAACAGTATGCTAAAGCTGCTAGGGTAGGAATGACAAGAAAACCTGCAAAAATTCTAAGGGTGTTTCTCCAACCGAAATTTGACAACAGCAGTTGTAGAAGTGGACCCACTGCCACTGTCCCGACTCCACTTCCAGATGCTGCTATACCGTTCGCTAGTGCCAGGTTTCTATAAAAATGAGAAAATATATAAGTTCTCAACGGCACCCTCAGAGAACTGAGAGAAGTACTAATTAGAATTGTCTGCATCAGCGTTTTCCTAGCATCGAGTCCCAGCATTCCCGCGATCATACAAGCCAGCCTGGCAACAATCTCGAAACCAGAACCGCGATCCATCGGCTGTATACATGCGGTATCCGATATGGATACCGGTATGCGGTATCCGGGACGAGACATAATTTATCATCAACCCGAATATATAGCTCAGGGATATATTAATGAAGAATAGCTTGAGGGCATGCAAGCACAATTTCCTTCGCCAATATGGCAATAATATTAGCGTATATAATTTGCGTTTGCATTATTCCTACAACTATACTAACTATATAATCAAGTTAAACTAGTTTGACTACAATAACCATTACAGCGAAACAGGCTGTTTCATCTGTATTTTAATACAACTACAAGCTTACAAGTTGTCCACCCAAGTAACAGGCTGTGCAGTAGTTTGGGCATAGTACAAAATATGGACTGGATTGGACTGGTCTGGACTGGACCGGTCCATATTTTGTTTCTCTGGACTCAAATTTGGACTCAGCTAAAATTTCAATAAAGCGTGTTTCAGACTTTATTATCATGACATGGACATATTCCGAGCAATTACTCATCTTGGTACTCTTGCAATTGTTCATTTAATAGAACACAACAAAAAACAAGCCGTCTGTGTAGCATGAGTTCGCCTGGCATAATTATTCAACGAAATAAATATAACATCGTAGAGGATAGACAATGAAAACGAGGTCGATATAATACCTCTTTGTTTCATATGAATACTGTATATGTGTCAATTTTTTATATATTAGTGTAGGATTTAAAATTCTTACTCCTATAACCTTTATCATATTATAATAAACTTTCAATTAAGACCAAGCTCTTGCTGAATATGCAATAAAAGGCTGATTACATTCGGATTACATGGTGTCTTTTTAGCCGGGCAAACCGGGGCCAAAGTATTTTTCAATTACATGGCAAGTTTCAGCCCGGGCTGTGTTATGACACGTCAGAATTATTTTAAAACCAGGCTAAAATTTCAGCCCGGACTGAGTTTGTAAAGGCTGGTA